CAGTGTCATTTATATCACAATATGCTGTTGCATCTGAACAGTGTGATGAAATTAAGTCGTAATATGATGCTGCACGTGTAATGTGTGATGCAATTAAACCACTATAAAAGGGCACTTCCATCACATGCACAAGCACCTTTGTTTTGTTGTTACTGAGTTTGTGCCTCTTTCTTGACTTCAAGGACTGCCTGCTCATGCTTACACACCAGAAGGAAACTGCAAGATCAGGCAACAATTTTTAAATGGCAGGTTACATTAAGAAACTAAGCACATATAATCTGTTAGTTTTCAAGCCATGATTCATGATATTACCAGCCTTTAAATATGATGGAGTTTAGCAAGTAAAAAAGTTATTATAGCCTTTGTTACGGTAGCAAATTTTACGTGGTACATTCTGCTCCAGCACTAGATGTGTCAAAAACTGTTTTGAAACTAAAAGGATAGACAAATGGATAAGGGGAACAGGCAGTTTTCTGATCCTTATTCCTTTATGGATCTATGTTCATTACACTGGCCAATTTTAGTCTGACCAAGCTTCACTGTTGCGTAAATTATTGCTATTTGGTCTCTATTTTTTAAAACTGATTGACTAAAGTAGAAAAAAAAATGTGGAGAGATCATTAGTTAGTAATGGTGAATTTGCTTCTCTAGCCCTGCTGTGAGAACACTGACCTTAAAGTTCAACGAATCATCATCATTTACTATCCAGATGAGATATTAGTAAGGAACAGATATGGAAGAAGCTCAATGCTAGTCTATTTAAAATTTAAATAGTGTTAGAGATCAAGATTTAATTATTTATAAGGATCAAATCTTGAGAAAAACAACAGGGTATTCATGCAAACAAATCTCCCCAAAAGAAACAGAGCTAGAACCCTCACCCCAGTCTGTAGCTAGTATATACCAGAGGTGTTATTATAAGAAGGGAGCTGAGGAAAATGAACATCGCTCTATGTCTCCTTTTTCTGGGATTTTGGACAGGTGGATTCAGCTATGCATGGGCCATATATCACACACACCATCTATTACACCTCTCTCTCCTCCATCTATACTCTCCACACTTCTGCTGTTCACATAAGTCACTGCCAACACTGGAGAGAATGCTGGACTGGACTGCCACCTGAGGGAAGACGACTCTCCATTTTACCCACAGATGTTAATATTGCATGCCTGGTGTCCATGGCCAGCTCACAAATCCTCATCTCTGCAGGAGGGAAAGGAGCCTAAACCTACAAGGATCCAGGTTCTGCTGTATAACATTAACAGTCTTTCGGAGGTTCACTTGTATTCCAGGACATGCTACTGGATAACACCAGCAGTCCAGAGATCTCCCCAGCAATTCCATTGAGAATCTTGGGTACCAACTTTCCAACCCTGCTGATTTAAAAGTTAATGCTGATGCTGAAAAATGACCTCGTTAAGTTACAAAAGTATAGGCATTACTTCTTCTTCCTCATGTGATACAAGTCTATTACCCTGGGTTTTTCTTTCCAGTTGTAGAACAGAAAGTCATTACTGAATGTTTCTGCCTTTTCTACGTTATTGACAATTTAACCATTTCCCTTGACTAATGTCTACACCATTGCTTAGTATTCTTTTGTTCCTAATATACTTAGAACTCCCTCAGTCACATACCTCACTATGGTCTTGGGGTTCATGGGGTCCCATGAATGTTTTCTTCTGTTTATTTCACTGATATGGCATGTATCGCCTCATAGCCCACTTTACGCTGTATCCATTTATGTTGCTTTTATCACTGTATAGGTTATGTCATGCTGTCCATATATGTCTTTATGATTTTGGACATGGTTTAGCCAAGGACCTGAGGGATGCATAGTGAAGGAAAAGGCAGTGGGAGGAACTGCTCAATCTCTTGCCATTCTATCACAATTGCCACTCCCCAGTCACAGACAGAAGGGGCTTCTGGTGGGATGAGCACCCAAGTTGTTCTGTTTGTAATGGGAAAAACAACTGCACAGTAAGGAAGGCATCTGAGAGATATGGCCCATCGGACAGAGGAATGGCAGAACTTCCAGGGAGATACATTTCTGGAGGATTTTCAAGACTCGTGAGGTATTATAAGGGGTTGTCTGTAAGGTGGCCAGAGTCTTTGGATTTCCCCAGGCTGCAGAAGGGGCCAAGTCCCCAGAAGTGAGAGCTGGTAGAATTAGTGGAAAAGCTGATTTCTGGAGACACTGATAAGACTTTCACAGGGCTAGGTGATAGCCAGAAGACAGTGCAAGAAACTTGACTTGTCTTTTTCTTCTGTCTTCAAACTTATGGTCAGTTTTGCTTGTATGATAATTTCTCCTACATCAATCCTTTTGTTGTCTTATCACCTTACTGATTGCCTGTGGAAGGAGTGATCTCTAGGTAAGTGATACTCCTAGCTCACCCATTCTACGGAATGGGTCTAGGGGGACCTAAAATGTCTTTCACAACCCAAAGGGAAGCCACCTAGAGCTGGCAGAAATTCTGCTGCTGAAGTTATGAGGTCTGGTATAATGACAGTAGAGCTGAGGCTGCAGGGATAAGGAGTCATTCCTGGACAAACCTTGATCTGTTTCTTGGGACAAGTTTCAAAAGAGCAAGGAGAAACTCAGTGCTCTGGGGCACCCCACAGATGGGTTCAACACCTCCATAATCTTCTTTAACCTTGTAGTAAAAATCCCCCTAACATCTCTAGCTTCCCATATCCATTTTCCTATAACTGATAGCTTCAAATCTATGTTGATTGCTTTCTATAGTTTTTTTTCCCCTCTATGTTATGTTCATTTTTATCTCTAATTGCTGCTACTAAATAAGAACAGGTCTTTTGCCAAAGCTATCCTCTTATTGGTGGAATCATGGCTTTTTGATCAGTGAATAACCTCTTCCTTAAGATCTTCCTATTTTTCTTTTACATATCTCTATTTAAATTTTAATTCCCAATCAATTCTGTTCGTACTTTTCCCTGACTTTGAGGAAATTAGTCTTTGATGCGGTAATCTTGGCTCATAGAGTGAAATATAATATCATACCCTATTGTATATATCATAATTATGGTTCATACATTAAAATACATAAAAATAATCTTAGCCTTAACAACTGCTATATCATATTATCTTCAAAATATTTCCAGGGGCTTCCTTTTGTTGGATCTCTCATACAAAGAGGCCAACTACTGAATGGGCATGGAGACTGAAAGAGTCTCCCCCGGCCTCCCCTCCCCTCCCCTCAGTACATGGCTACAGTTCCAGTTCAGCACTGAGACACATTGGTAGGGGGATAGTGCTGCTATGGTCTGCTTTTTCTCAAGACAAACTGTACCATGTCATTTGAAAACCTGTGAACGCCAGTGCCATTGATTTAGCAGAATATTAGTGTGGTTGTATGCTGGAGATGTAACACTGGGCTGAGATTACACCAGTAGACATAGCTGCATTTGCCTGATTCCTAGACAGAGTAATGAAGCAAAGAAGCAATCGTCATGAATTACTGGGCAGAAGAAGAAATGTCACACTAAATCAATCATTGGCAATGGCAAACAAGTGGCAGCATAAATATAAATTAATACCTGGATTTATACATTTCTGAGTATCCCTTTAAAGAGACTGGTTTGAAACCATTATAAAATCTATTATTATTATGTCAGTGGCCTGTGATGCATTTTTAAGTGAGCAATCTGCTCTCATCACTAACAGGAGTCAATAACTTCTTTACTCAAGCCAAACATTTTCATAAACAATTCTGATTTTACAGAAATGGTTTGCCTGTCAGACATGGTTTACTCTTGTTTATTATTACTATATCATTCAGGCCAATCATGTCTCAGTCACATCAGTTTAATGTGAAATAATATGTTATAGTCAAGCCTCTGTGTGCAATTGGAGTCTTTAGTGAAGACAAAAACACTGATCAGAAGGTTGCATATGTATAGTACAATTAAAGCTGCATATAAAGAAGCACATCTGGGATAAAATTCTTTGCCAGTCCACCAGTTTCTTTTAAAATTAGCTTAATTTCAAAATACTAAATATTGATTGTTTCAAAATAAAAAAGCTGAAATGTTTCAACGTTTTTGAAAATTCTCTCAACCAATTTTTTGAGTTAACTATTCACAAATAGTTTGATTGTCCTGAAACCATGTTTCAGCCAATTTACTATCCATCAGAAACTTCACCCAGTGCTAATTTGGTGTCAGTTGTGATGATCTGTCCACAGATGAAAAAGATATTAAAGTAAGAAAAGTTCTGATAACACTTTCAATGACAAAGACAATATGTGAAAAAGCATCTTGCTTGCCCGTTATGCTGCCAGACTCTGTATCATCTACAGAAAGCCAAAGACTGTATCTACTTGTCACAGGGGCACTGTAACAAGGCATTATCCCAAGGGAAGGGAGGAGGGGTGACTGCCATAGCTCCTAGAGGCTACCCAGCCCCAGCTTGGTTTCCCCTCCTGAGGGTAATATGCCCTCTCTCACACGCCACAACTTGATGTTGCATTCTGTATCCAAGGGCGGCTGCCCCAGAGGTTCCCAAACTAGGTCCCAGCCCCTGGTCTGAGCTAGACAACATCTGGGGCATGTTGATATGCTTGTTAGGACTTGGCCCTTCCGGCCTCGGTCCCTTTTTCTCTCGGTGGGGTCCCACGGCGCAGGCCCGTTGTACCAGACCTGGATTCAGGTTCCCTGCCTTGTCTCAGCCTGCTGCGGGCCTGGTCTAATGTACTCTGGGCTCTGGGCTCACTGGCCCCCATGCTGCGCCCCAGCTCTGGCTTCTGAGCCTGCTACTCTCCTGGGATGCCTTGAGCCTATTCCTAGCAGTGCTTAAGGCTAATACGTGCCCCTCAGGCACCAACGGGACCTCCAAACCGCCCCTTTAGTCCCAAATACAAGCCACCAGTAGTAAACTGTAACCAACAGAAAAGCCCCCTGGCTATAACCAAAACTCTTTCCTCCTGGGTAATCAAATAACACTAAACAGAAAAAAGTAGCATATATCCCCTTTCCCTCTCACCTCTGGGGGAAGGCTGGCAACCAACCAAGGCAGCCACCTCCCGGGTTAGGCTCCTGAGGGCTCTCACGGTCTCGCCAGAAGCTCCCAGGCAGCCCAGAAGTCCTTGGCTGCTCCTCAGCAAGGAGCTTCCTCCCCCTGCAGCCTGTACGGCTTGTATTTATTGGGCTCTCTGCCTCCCACCCCACACTGGTCACCTGCCTCCCTGGGCTGCCACAGGTGATCCCTGTCCTGGGCGATCTTGGGCAGCTGCAGGGCAAGGAAGATCTCAGGCTGCTGTGTGGTTCCTTGTTGCTGCTGCTGCCTCTGCGGTACGTGCTTGTTCCAGTCTTATCCCCGCTTTTGGATCTGTGCCTGGGCTGGTCCGACCAGCTGGTCCCCCAGGCTCTGTCCTCCCTTCTCAGTAATGGGGCAGGGGCTCTGTTACATACACACACAAAAATTAATCTGAATTAACTGAAATGTGTTAAACTACATTAAATCACCATGTGGACACTCTCATTCAAAATTAAGTTGGCCTTAATTTGTTTTGGTTTAATACATTTCTTAAGTAAATTACATCAAATGAATTATTGCTGTTTTAATACTGATTGGCAGTGTCTACACAGGGGTTTAATGTGGTTTAAATAATCCATTTTAAAAGTTCATTTGGATAAATTTTCCTGAGTTTTCCCACAGAGACAACCCTTTAGTTACTTGTACAGTTTTGTCTAATCCCATGTAAAATGTAATTGTATTTAGGTTCAAAACCTTCACTAGGACTTGATTTCTATCTATAAAAACATGCTCCATTGCATATGTATCTTTTCCCGATTTAGGCCTCAGGTCAGGAAGACTTTTAAGCTAACGCTTAGCTTCAAGCACATGCTCAAGTGTCTTTCTGAATGGGAGCGATATATCAGATAGCCATAAACCTTTCCATGAAGAATTTAAAACAGTTATAAATTATAACATTTAATAGCATAAACACAGAAGGAAGTTCGATATATGGACGGTAACTGGATCAATTCAGTATATCTGGTAACCAATTACACTTCAAGCCTAAAATATAAGACCTTGTCTCCCCCTACAGTCAAAACATTAATACACCTGACCTATCATATTGTCCAGGCAGGCTCCCCAGATCCTAAATGTACATCTATTTATAAACAAAATGAATTATAACAAGTATAAAACTGAAGAGATGTGGGTCATTACACAGGAGTATAATTAAATCTGACTTGGTTCCTACAGACTTCATAGGAACCATGATAAAATCTTCTTGACTCAGATTAAAAATAAATTGCTGAGTAAATTAGATTTCCTGGTGTTTTATCTAATTAATCCACCTCTTAAATCAAACTGGTTGACTTTTTAATTACCAGCTAATCTCATCCATATGAAGAGGATTTTTTTTATGCTCCTAATTTTTCTTTCAGGTACATTTATGCCTCATACTATCTAAGGATTCTGCCTCATTACTTGCTTATGAGGATTAGTAAGAGAGGCTGAGGATTGCAAATAGAGGTCATGACTGGCATTGCACCATTCCAGATTTACATCACTAATAGCAGTGATTCCACTTGAAACTGCACCAGCATAAAGCTGGGTTCTTACAGCTACCCCAAAAGATTTGGAAGAAATTATTTACTGCATTATTATGGCACAAGGGAAATTATTATGATAGAAACTGAAAAAATCTGATACCCAAGCAAACATGCTACATTAAAATGCACAGTTCACCAAATCTAGAAGACAGTAGAGATAATATTTTTAAAAATACATTTAAAAATGCAAAACACAGGGAAAATTCACACTGGTTTTATATTTGTTTTGATTCAAGATGGATTTTTTCTGACTACGAACCATACTGGCACCCCAAGGTGAATAGCAACCCACTGTTCAGCCCATGCTCTTACTCTACCATCTTTTTTCAGGTTCCTCTCACGGATTGTTTCAGGGAGGAGTCTCAAACTCTCTAACACAAATGCTCACTCACGCTGAATGAGTGTCATGCTTCTAAACATTTCCATGTTTTAAACTCCTGTAGTTTAAAAAGTCAGAATTTCCCTGCTGCTCATTGGCACAACTTTTAGTGCTTGCGACAACAGGAATCTGTCCTGGTAGTGTGTTATCTTTGCCACTGTTTTGTCTCCCTCTTACAGTCTCCTTTAATTAATTCTATGAAACCAGTCAGGATAATATCAGGTAGGTAAACTGAAGTGTACATGACATCTATTAAAAATATATATGTACCTCAATTCTCCACAGCATATTTTAATGGGTACATCTAGTTTGACATATATCACAGAACTGAAAGGCCCTGAGCAAACTACACTGCGGAGATGCTATTGCAGCACCAGGGTGAGGCACCCTCACCTGTTGGGTAGGTATGTTTGGACACCACTCACACTAGTTGCAAATGCAAGTAGCAAATTGACATGCGTTTACTAACTGCACAGTAGGGCTGTGTGAAATTTCAATGGCTGTTTTGTTTTGAAGCTGTTTCGAGGCATTCCAAGCTAGAAACAGTGAAATCTAAATGAAACAAAAGGCTTCAAAACTGCTTCAAAATGAATTGAGGGCACTCAAAATGTTTCAAAAGTTTCAAAATGTTTCAAGTTTCGAAGCCGGACTTACTTGGCTTCACCGCTGGTCCCAGGTGGCAGTGGCTCCTCTCATCTGGCACGCAAATCCGGGGATTTGCATGCCCAGGAGGAGTCCGGCACAGCCTGGCAGCCTTCCCAGGGGTGTGAACCTCCAGATCTGTGCACCAGATGAGAGGAGGCAGAGAGTTTTCTCTGGCACTGGGTGCAGACTACGCCCAACGCCAGGCCCAGGCAACAGGACAACCTCCTCTCATCCAGGGTGCCAATCCAGGGGCTCACACCCCCGGGAGGGCTGCCGGTATGTGCTGGACTCCTCCCTGGATCTGTGCGCCAGATGAGAGGAGGCTACTGCTGCTGCCTGGGACAAGTGGCAGCAGTAATTTTCTCCGGTGCTGGGCACAGCCCATGCCCAGCACTGATCCCAGGTGGTAGAGGCAGCCTCCTCTCATCTGGGGCACAGATCCAGGGGATCATGCCTCCAGGAGGGCTGCTGGGCTGTGCTGGACTCTTCCCAGAGGTGTGAGCCCCCGGATCTGCATGCCGGATAAGAGGAGGCTGTCGCTGCCAGCAAGTGTTAGGAGTTGTGTTTTGAAAACATTGAGGTGCAGTTTCCCAGAAACCTCTGCAGCTATCTCCTTGAAACTTGGCAGGATTCATGTGCTCTGAAGGGGCTACCATCCCTGCAATTTTTATCTAAATCAGGCAAGAAATGACAAAGTGTTAGGTATTTTCATTATTCCCCATTATAGCCTATGGGCGAAAGGTCATGTGTTGAAACAGCGAAACAGTTTCAATGAAACAAAATGGGACAGTGTTTCAAAATGAAACAAATGACAAAACAAAACACTGTCCCTTCAAAACGACAAAATGGACATTGAAATGAAACAATGGTGTTTTGCACAGCCCTACTGCACAGTTCTCATGTAGATGCCTGACGGAAGCAAATCTGCTCCCGGCCAGCCAGCCACCAGGGGGTGAGAGATTGCTCCCTGTCCCCATAAGTTGCCTGCTGCCAGGGTGGACTCCACCACCTAAGCCTGGGCAGGAACTATGTCTCCCTGCCCCAGCAGCAGGGAGCTCCAAGCCCCCCAGTCCAAGATCATGATCAGGGAGCTTCTGATCTCTCAGCCCCTGCTTTCCTATCACAACTGGGGAGCAGGGGCTGGGAGATAAGAATCTCCCTGCACCAGCCCTGTAACTGCAGATCTGGCACTGAGACGTACGGATCTCTCAGCATTGGCCCCACTGTTGCAGAGCTGGCACTGGGAGCTCCTTGCTGGCAGGGGCTAGAAAGCCTGTTCCCTGCCCAGCTCTGTGATCACCAAGTTCCTCTCTCATGGAGCTGAGCAGGAAACAGGATCCCCAGCCTCCACCCTATAATCATGGAGCAGAGGCTGGGAACTGCCCTACCTGCAGATCAGGGCAGGGGGCTGGGACCTATCCCTCCCCTGGAACTCTTTCCATACCCCCTGCCCCTGGTTTGGGGATACAGTACCAGGAACTCTCTGCTTCTGGGGCAGGGGGCATTGTCCCCACCTCGGCAACAGGCAGCCCTCTGGGGGCAAGGTGCAAAGTCCCAGTCCCAGCCAGAAGACAGCTGTCACCTGGCCCAGTGCTCCCTGCCAGCCCCTGGAGCTCCCCCTTGTGGTAGCAGAAGTCCATTGCAAGGCCCCAGGAAGGGAGAGCCGTTTGCTGCCATTAGCAGCAAATCTGCTCCTGGTTCCCTGCACATGCAGAGGCCCACCCAGGAGCCTCTACTCAGTAGTATTTTACTCACAAGTAAACTGCTCCTGGATCTAATGCACATGTAGACATGTCCACTGGCTCCCAACCTTAAATGGGACACAAACAAGCCTAAAGTAAAAAAAAAAATCTAATAATAAATGCAGCAGCTACAATGCCAGCCTCACATATGTTCCCCTTTTCCTGGGTGCAACTGATTGCGAATTGTAGCTCTGCTGACTTTTATATTTCAATGCATTTTTTCTATTGATATCTATCAAATTTTATTTTCATTCTGTGCTACTTTACAGTGTCTATAGGATTAGGGCCAAGTGAGGTAACTGTAGTATGCCTGGAAAGTCAGCTGAACATTAAGATCACATTGTAAGATACATACACCACCTAAGAAGGCAGCTTTTCTATAGAAATTGCATCCTTGTCTTTCAGGATGAGCAGCCACATATTATTCCACACCATTCTAGCAAGCTAAGTCATTTCAGTGATATACTCAGAACCAACCTGATAACAGCCCAGCAAATCCACAAAAGTACAAATCTTTTTTATGGCTTTGTAGTCTGAAGTTGAACAGGCAAATTTATACAGAAAGGAATAAGAAGCACTAGTCCATAGTGAATGTGTCTACACATGTCCCTACAGCGCCTTTGTTACTGAGCCATCATTTAGTACTTCCAAAAGGAAGTACTAAATGACAGCGCAGTAACAGCCCAAACTGGGCCATGCACATGGCACACTGTTTCATAGATTTCATAGACATCAGGGCTGGAAGGGACCTCGGAA